AACCTCGCTTTACGATCTGGTTTTCGCATTCTCTTCTCGTAGCAGACTCTCAAATTTCAGTTGCACCCAAATTCTTAAGTTCCATGCGCATTTTTACACGCGACGGATCGAGTGATAAATTAACGTCGAAGTCGCCTTTAGAATATACACAGAAAAAAAAAATTACTCACAAGCATTCTGGCCTTTGTTTTACATTTGTCGCGATGATATTTCTTTATTTTTGATTTTATGATTCCATTTTTCGAATGATGAACTTTGTGCACAAATGAACCTACATATATTAAACTTTAGGAAAAATAAAATTGTCTCCTCTATTCCTGCCTGAACGGAAAGGAATTACAGGCAATGCTAAAGTGGTTTCTTGAAACTTTTGCAACTTCTCATTTCCTGGCATGCTTTGAAAAATCGATGAGAAAGTATATAAATTTACAGAGTATACTAAAACAGAAAAGTCTACTATAAAAGCATGAACATTTATTAATTAATCTTCCCTTTAATTGTTTTAACTGATAAAGTGCTGAAAATGATTCTCTCATGGCCAAAAATGAATAAAAACATACTTTTGATGACAGTATAGAGTCCTAACTGATTAGAAGCTTCTTTTCTTTGCCCTCCTACTTTCAATTTTTTCTGAGCATGCCCTCCTTTCAAGAAGTATAATTTTTGGACCTCCTTCACCATCCACTCTCGAGTGATGTTTCTCGCTGTTTTTGTCAACCCATGGTCATTTTGAAACAGGGACTCGAAATGCTAGACCTGCAACAGAAAACAAATTCCACTTTGAGAATTTAATCTTATACCTACATAAAATAATTTATTCAAAAGATATCTGATCAGTGGTTCAGAGGAGTTTCTTAAAACATCTTCCCACATTCATGCCCCATTCGATTTGCACAAAAACCTCCGATGGAAAATAGAGTCAGCAGCTATGTATGTACATGGTTCCATTCCCCCTTTGAGAAGCTACTTATCGTAAAAGACATCCATGATTTTGCTCAGCTTGTTATCCTCAGACTTGGGATCGGCAGCATCAAAAAAGCAGTGACCTTTCTGACACATGTGTAATTGGAACATCACTTGATCTAAAAATCTTGCAGATGGTCCATCACCGTCTTTATCAGATAGTATTTTAATCTTTTCTCCAAGGTTAGACGTTTGACTTCTACCAGACTGCCTCGTGCTTTTTCTTGCGAAAGGCGGCCTGTTTCTTAGTTACTTGTTAAAATATTTTAAGTTTCTCGTCAAAATTAGCAGTAGAGTCAGAGGGTGGATAAACAACAAAGGGTTTCAAGAAATTGTCGATGAGCTTATTACTTAAAACTTCTAATGGGATGCACCATTGCACCCTGTACTGCTGCTGTGTGTCGTGTTTAGACATTTTTCGAAGAAGGACAGACATTTTGCCCATGATTTGTCATTATTAAGGCATTAAAATTGACACAAGTTGCCAATGATTCGCAAGTATCGTTCCACGGGATGTTCTTGTGGATAAAAACTAACGAGTGACCCGGGACAATGTTGTTAGCTTTCAGCTGAGACTCCCAAAACTTGGATTCGGAAAATGGACCTCGGTCCGCAATCACAGCTACGGGGTTTCCAACATCGACCACATATCTATCGAAGAACTTATGGAGAACATTTTTACCAGTTGTCCGTCAAATGGCATACAGTTTTAAATATTTTGAATAGATATCTAAGCAAACCAAGATATTCTGAACATTTCTTACAGAGGTTGGAAGCGGACCAAAAAGATCCACTGACACTAAGTCCAGTGGTTTTTTGGAAATTATAGGAGACAATGGAGATCTGAAGTTTTTGTTCGGAGCTTTACAGCTTTGGCATAAAATGCACCCAGTTACAATTTTACGAACTTTAGCCTCTAAAGAAGGAAAAAATACAACTAATTTCAAGAATTTATAGGTTGTTGACAACATCAGAAGATGCTTCAAAAAATGGATGTTTCGGTCTCAGTACAAAGCCAACGCGCTCATACGGACGATGATCAATCTTGCTAAGCTTATCCAGAACCTCAACCTCCTAGTAAAGGCTTCTCTGCATCACATCAGTTTCCCTAATTTTATGGCCCCCTAACTATCCATTAAAGAAAATAAAAAATAAATTTAAAAGAGCCATAACCGTGTGAATAATATTCAAGTAACTAACAAAAACTTACATTACACCTAAAGGTGTCTCTCAGACATAGCCCATCTTCAGTAGCTTACAAAAAAGCAGTAGCTTCACAAACAAATCGAATCAAATAATAAGAGAACAAAGACTGAATAAACCATTTTTGAATAAACTATACAAGCAGAATAAAATAGACTTTATCAAAATATAAAATGTTAAATGTCAAATAATTCAGCAAGTGAAATAAATGAAGAGAGATGATTTCATCCACAGTTACTTCATTTATATTTCGCCTTCCTTATTGCAATTATGTGTGAAACACTCCATTCATTTAACACCCATCCTCAGTTTTACACCTTGGTGCATCATGAGCTTTTGAGGCAGTAACTCTACCGTACCGGTAGGCGTACCACTTCTTGGTAGATGATTGATCAGATGTCATTAACGCAATTTTATCGCAAGTTTCCTGATCAATTTGAGATTCGGCAAACTGAGTGAATACTTCATAACTGCGAGGTTGGGGTGTTCCGTATTTGTAATCCATCATCAAATGGTGCATATCAATTGAACGCATATAATCAAACATAGAGCCTATCACATATGTATCACACTGAGAAAAAACTATGGCTTATAAACCTATTAGAGGTAAATATGGAACACCACTAATAGTAGTACCTCTACATATAATAATAGCACATATACCTTAGTTATGGTCTCTGTACCTTAATTAGGTACAGAGACCTTAGTATGGTTCACAGACCGAGAATCATTAGTTTATTTACGACTATTATAGGTGTTCCATATTTACCACTAATAGGTTTATAAACCATAGCTTTTTCTCGGTGCAGTCTATTCATCATTAGTATACACAGATTGAAGAAGCTGTCTAACTCCTCAGGACTCACATTAGTAGGAGGTGGTTTGGCTTTCTCACTCACCATTTGAAACTTGACAGTATTGCCGACGAGCGATAAAGTGGGTTTCTTCCACAGACATTCACCAGAGGTGACAGCAGGATCTTCAGTCCTTCTATGAATCTAGCTGGCCAAATATATGGCATGTTTGCAACCACCTGCGGTAGGAAGAAAACACACATTAAGAAGGGTAAAAAAATAATCTTTGATATCCCTTTGTCGTTGCTGTAAGAGAAAGCCAAGCGTTTTCAATGCATAATATTATCTACTGGAATGCTTCTTATTTTGAATTTACGGATCCTTAAGGCTTTTAACGCTGTTGATGTTTGTTGTAGACCTCTAGCAGTTATCTGCGGTAGAACTTTATTTTAAGGACGAATCATATGCTCCTAGATCCTTACTAGCTATCTGGTAGATATCGAGCGCAGATATCAAGGAGGGAGATTGGCCTACGTATAGCCTACCTTAAAGGCGTTTTTAAAAACCGCAGTGCCCTACTAAATCTGTATTACTGGTTGCATACATAGTGAGGCCAGGCGTTTTTAACTGCCGATTGGAAGCCGCAATTTTGCCTTAAAAATATGTGCACCAAATTGCATACATTTTAGCTGAAGGCGTTTCTCAAAATTTCTTTAGCGGGAATTTTCATTCCCAATACAGACCTTTCTTAATGAGATTAAGTAATAACAGTGTAAAGTTTGCTTACCCAATTATTGCATTGAAAATGATGAGATTCTAAAATGGCTTCGTCTTCTTGCCATTTTATCTTTTGATCTTGTAAGTACCCCAAAAATAATTTTTTTGGTATTTTTAGTACCTAATGCAAAGAAACGCCGCAGTGTTTTGTGTTTCAAATGAGGCATAATATCGGAATTATTCAAAGCCAATTCTTGCATTCAAATTGCAAGTTACTATAACGAGCTGCATTTATCTAATACATACTTTACTACTACACAGCTAATTTTAAAGTTACTGCATAGGACGCATTCTATTTTTTATTCCATAAATAAATGATAAGTAAAATTCAATCACCACTTGTAGGTGAGTAAATTGGCATCGATGTTTAACTTCAACGAGGAGCAGTTTTATGCCAGTTGGACTGTACAAGTAAATTGTTTTCCCTATTTGTTAGGAAATATGAATACGTGCGCTTACTTTATAGAATTTTTTTTTTGGGGGGGGGATTTTCACAAGTTAGTAACACCGCATTTTCTTTACTCAATGAAATTTAAAACAACCATATGAATCAGTCTGACTTGATAGCTAAGCTTTATTGTTTTACGTATCATCGACGGCTGAACTATTAGACCGCGTACTTTATTTTCGGAGAGTCAAAGTTTGAAATCCTATTTTACATCTTTGAAGGAGAACAAATCGATATCATTCCTCAAAGTTTTCACAGAAAGTTTCTGAAGTTCTTTACGTAAGTTTTTTTTGTTCACAATTGAAGTTATGTGGTGACCCATTTACACAATAAAGTATGATAAGAAGTCTGCAACGTTGCCAACCCAGACACGTGGCCTGATACTTTCACCGTCTATATAAATTTAAAATGAATGGAAATTCGCTAACTCATGGTAAGCGCCGTTTTGAATCGAGAAAAGCGAATGATAGGTCTCATGTCAAGGGTTAAAGTTGAAAGTTGCGTAACTTAATTGGTGCGTTTGAATATCTCTGATGATATTTCTTACATGAAAACTGACCAATGGAACTCATCGAAGTTTCTTATAAATGTTTTTGAATAGTAACGAAGATTTGCAGAAAATTTAAAAAAAAAACTCTTTGTCGCTTTCTTTCTTTTAAGAGAATAATCATGTATAGAGATATACAACAGCGCACCCATTTTTTTACTTTAGCCCATCGATGTTTTGCAGTGATGATGAATAAAACTGGTAGACACTGCTTAATCAGGTTACGTCAAATAGGGGAATAATGGAACGGTCACAGAAATTACACAAATTACACAAAATGACACAAATTTATTTTTACAGAATTAACAAGATTAAAAAGATTATGCTTCTCCTTCTTCATCATCGTCATTAGTGAGGTCATGCCTGGAACAAACAAATGTATGCATATGAAATTAGGAAACTTGAACTAAACATTGGCAATAAGAAGAAAATATATTGAAATTTGTACGACTTATATTGACATTTAATTTAATTTATTCATATAATAAATTAAATTGAAAGTCAAATATACATAAAAACGTAAAATAAAACAAATAAAAACAACCATTAAATTCTATAAGTCCAGTTTCGGATTCTCCTCAAAGTTTTGACAGCTAGGAAAAATACAGGTAATACCTGCCGTTAAATTCCGTATATATACTCAGATTTAATGAAAAGCTTTTGTCATTTAAAATGGTAGCAAGTAAATTGCCGTAACTTTTTGCCGCTCAGGAAGCCATTTTTACACCTACTCTACCACACGCTGACACCAGGGCCCTTCTCGGCCTGTGGCGGTCTCATTTAAACAAAAAACCCCGTGACCTCAGTGGATCTCCATTCGCCACCGTTTTTCTTCTTCCCTCTAGCCTACTGCAGCTCCAAAAAAAATTGATGAAATTTTCATGGATCTACTTCAATTTTCTTGGTAAACATACATTCTGTTGAAAAAGAAGATTGTAATGAACTAAATTTCTTATTAATATTATGTTAATATGGAACGGAGATAGCGTTCAGCAAGTTGCAAATTCAGCTTTAAGAGTTTTAATCTTACTATACCGCAGACTCGTGTGTTCTCCTCACTATGACCACCATTTTACTCGAAATTTCGCCGCGAATCTAAAAATGTAAGCTGTAAAAACTTTTTTCGAAAAAATAAAAAAAATTGCACACTTGCTGCCTAAACCCAAGATATAATTTCGAGGGTCACATTCAGGAAGGTAGGCCTAGTCCCGTCTCGGGGGTTGTTTTGTTGCCATTCGTCGAATTATGGTGTTTACCACTCTAGTTTTCCATACATCATCGTATCGCGCCCACAGTATGGTCGGGGCGTGTGGAAATTGAGTGAAGAAAATAGTAAATGGACCATAATATGATCACTAAAGAACAAGCCCAGTGTTCGAGAATTTTTAGGATATAATTGCATTAGGTACATACAAATTACTTTTCAATAGAAAGTGGACGGAAGAAACCTGTGAGTTCCTTTTGTAATCCTCTTTTCAATAATAAATTAGTGACTTGATGAAGGCTAAGGAAAATATATAGTGCCGCTCTCATCCCTATATAGGCAGCCCTCCTTCCGCAAACGGTGATTGGTTTTGAGGAGTTCCATTAAATGGGACGCCAACGCCCAAATGTTTACCCTGCGTTACCAAAAGCAACTGTACAATTTCGGAATATTGTAGCTAAAATTAGAGGAAAGTGTTGATAGATAGGGTGTTTCTAACACTTTTCACAGGATGCTGTTTGCGGACATGCAAAGCCCTTCGAGAGAGATGGCCGAAGAGAGGGGGAAGTGGGAAAGAGAAAAGAAACCGAATCATTTTAAAAATATACTCACACATTCATTGATAGCTCCAACATTGAGGAAATCGTCGGCTCTGATAGAAACGACTTATTTGGTGCCTTGCTAGTTGCGGAGTTTGGGCGATTTCTGAGGACCCTCGTGTCAGTTTCATTTTTCTTCATCCGATTTGAGACTACATTTCCGTTGGAGAACAAAGCTTTCTTCATTTTACTTGTTTTTGCACGAAAGGGCTGCCTCGGTGAGGCTCGTGGGAGTGGTTGTGCGATTTCCGACAACTGTTCTATGGCCACATCTTTTTGAGGTTGTACAAAATCTGAGTGAGGTGTGACTACTGCCAGCTGATCTGTAATGTGTGTCCCGCCTGTAACACTGGAGGAGGCTATAGTGTTTGAGGAGACTTTAGTGTTTGAATCGGCTGCAGTGTTTGAGGTTTCTGCATCGTTGGGTGGAGGCTCAGTGTTTAAAGGGGCTGTAGTATTTGAGGGGGCTGTAGTGTTTGAGGAGACTGCAGGGTTTGAGGAGGCTGCAGTGTTTAATAAAATGATTGCAGTGTTGGATGCACCTGCAGCTCTTTTACGTTTGTTTGGTGTCCCAACGGAAGGCGCGTTCCGGAAGAAGTTCTTGATCGTCGTGTTGATTTCTTCTTTGTAACAGTCGGGTAGACTATAATTTAACGTGTTCATCCGCCTTACGACAGAATCTGAAAATAAATAGAAAAGGTCTCAATGAAGACTCGTAACAAGAAAAGTTCACTATCAAAAATCTCTGAGTAAAATTCGGTGTATGCATCACTCCGGAGTCTATATAACATCCAAAGAGTCAAAGTGATAGGACTGCGGAGTGGAATTCATCATTTTTTGTGGAGTATCGTATACTCTTTCACCTAGCATTCGTACCACGCGGGTTACTTATACTTGGGCGCTAAAGAGCCTCCGTAGGGAGACATGCATCTAATTTCACTGCAAGATATTTAACAGCGTGAAGAGCATATACATTGAATATAAATTCAGATGATGAAGTTAGTGCAGTTGGTGCAAAAGACCAGGTTTTTCATGTACTACTGTGACGTAGCGAGCGTACGAGAACCGTTCCAGCGTAAAACTGACCGTTTTAAAAATCCGAATTTTGGGGCATTTTTAAGTTGATTTTTAGGGGTTTCCGATGGTGAAATATCTCCGGGACAATTCCTGTGACGTCAGGAGCCTTAGTTCTCTCGACTTAAGCAATAAACAAACTATGGAACAGGCCCACTCTCTCATTTCGACGGGAATTTTGATCGCGTATCGAGAGCTAATTGAATCTCCGTCATCTTCCGGCACAATCATTAGAATTGGAGAATCAGGAAAACTGACCAAAGACAAAATCAGTAACAATACTGCGCTGTCGCGCGCATTGCCCCCGAAAATTGTGGCAAAATTGAATAATTCAAAAAATAGAGAAAGGACGAAAGAAAGACGGGGGAAAAGGGGAAAAACTCGAGTCGATTTTAACGAAACAGGAGCGAAAAAAAAGCAATGCGTTCAAACAAAGACAAATGAGCGCGGAACCGATACGATCTAACAATTACGGCTAATGCACTCTTATCAACCTAAATTACGCTTGCTCTGCGACTGACGGCTCTGCTCTCAGGAACGAGAACCACACAACTCCAAGATATTTATACGCGTAGATACGAGATTTCTGCTTAGGCTCTTCTTCTTCCTCCCACTTTTTTTCAGCGAAAAAAGTCGGGCTTACGATCCGAGCGGGTACCAATCAGACGACAGAGCCCTAGATTTTAATCGGTCACCGCTGCACGGAGAAAATTGTTGCCAGATAGCGCCTTTTTCCTGTTAAATCCGTGCAAAATTACCCGCATTTTACCGCACAACCTAGCAACCTTGGCGGATGGACGTTGCACAGTGAAACGAACCTTCGCGAAAAATCGGAAATAAAATTTTTACTAAAACCGCAAATTTTCTTGTCACATTTTAAATTTTAAAGAATGGTTCTCGAAGAAAATATCACGAGAAACCTAAATGTAACTGCTTTTAAATACCTCCGTTTCGTATTAACGAAGATATAAACTTTTAAAGCATCCGCAAATCATGTCCGGTTTCTCCACTGATTTGCATCATTGTGCGTCGAGGTTCGGAAAAAAGCAAGAGCACGCTTCACTACTGCTAGTTGCATTTCGTCTTTTCCCAAACGTTCGTATCTTCATTCCAACTTTTTGAAATTGACTCACATAATTCCGGTTTTTTTCTTCTTTGTTTTCCTTACAAAAATATGATTGCGCAATAACCGTCCAATATTTTGCCAAATTCTGCATGTACCTGTTAGCAAGAGGGCTAGGAAAATTTTCAGGCAGAGATGCAAATGAATTTTCTGGCAAATATCCCATTTGCGGTGGGGAATTCCACAGTATAAGGATGCACTTACGTCCTTCTGTCCTGGGAACGACGATTCGTCTTGCGGTGGCGGAAACGGCTCATTTTAGTTGCTTAAACTGTCGAAGAAAGTGCGTTTTCGCGTCCGATTTGGCGATCCTGCGGATCGTCATTTTTCGTTGAGTAAACAGACTTTCGCCTGGACGGCTTTTAGGATTTACGGCTGTTTTATCCCTGTCGTTCGTTCGTGCCTCTTCCGTGTGCGATTGAAAAATCGTGGTTTGTGCTGTAAGGCCCGCGTAAGCATGTGAAACTCCAAATCGATTTCCGCATTCTTTTACTCTGTACGTTTTTGGACCGATCAATGTACCAGGGCATGAAAGTGAGTGCCATAAACATATTCCCTCATCAAAATGAGCGCAATACACGGCAAATTCATAAAAAAATGTCAAAACGTATCTGATTTCAAACTTCGATGGAAAATAAATCCATCTCATCAACCCAATTCGACAAAAATTTTTTAGATTTTTTTTTTTTTTTTTTTAGTGTAATTGCGCATAATGAATCACAAAATTTTTTTGGACTTATATTGATCTTGAGAAAAAAATTTCTCAAGACTACATACAAAAGCCATAAAGATACACACCGTTTCGTTTTTTCTTGGAAAACGGAAAAACTAACTTTGGGTAACGATGGAATTGCGAGCAAAATTATCGGAGAAAGTGGAAGAAAAATATCCATTAGTTGTGTTGTATCAAGGGAAATTTAGCAATGCCTGAAGGTTCATACGGCGTTTTTCCTTAGCACGGAAGCTCCTTAGCTTGATTTGCGTATCACTAACAATAATCAACCCCCTGATAACGGGAAGCGATACAACCTTTTCCTCAACTATCAAAACTCCTCTACTCGGGTTGAGAAATAGAGAAGGGCCGCTGGTTGTCCAGGTGGAATGGCAGAGCGATCAGGAAGACGAATTCAGACGAGCATCATGTCCTGCGTAAGACGGGAGAAACAAACACTTAATCCCGATTGACAAATCAGCGCTGGCCGTTCCCCATTCCTGACCGGGGTCCGTTGCAGCCAAATTTGATGGTTATCAGTCCCCGCGCCGCGCCGCGTGACGTAACGGAGCCACACACACACTCACAAATCCGTGGTCGCGACCACTGTTGTCGGCCGGCCGGAATCGACCGGTGCCGTACTGCCGCGTTACCGAAGAGAGTCGTAAGTGGAAAAATTAAGTTTTGAGGAAATGGACGCACTAGCGTCTGAGCGGAAACGATTATTTCACGAGTCGCCGTTCTTTATACATTTTTCGTCAATCATCCCAGAGCCTTTCAGATATCATGTGGTTGATTAAAAATCTACGAATTGTATTATCAACTTTATAAAAAGGTCCTTTTTCTTTCCACATTAGACAAGACAGCTGTAAGCTAGTTTCTACGCGCTTTCTTGCTGCACGCAGCAGGGTGTTGGGTATAACGATACTGGAAAAAAACACATTGGATCTAAAGTCCAGACTCTCAAAAACATCGACAAGAAAAAATACTCTTGATTCAATCGGATTTTTGCTTAAATCAAGAACCAATCCTCTTAATTTGAGCGGATTTCCTTTTGATTTAAGCTTAAATCTGATTGAATCAAGAGTCCTTTTTCTTGTCAATGTTTTCAAGAGTCTAGACTCTAGATCCAATGCGTGTTTTTTCCAGTGGATTACAGAAAACGCTTATTTCTCATCTCTAATTGTAAGTCTGAAGAACTTCCTGCTATGTCCACTGTAATTCTATGCGCGAAATGGATGAGATCACATGTACTGTCAGGCTTATTTTCGTACCTTATCGTCTAGTGGTCTATCAAGGCGTTTGCCTGGGTGTCCAAGAATAATAGGGCATGGGTACTAGACAATCTCGTCATCCACGTCCCCCGTAAGTGTAGTAGCCGGTTTTAGATGGACGGCCACTTTTCCGAAAATGTTGAAGTTAAGATCTTCAGCTCTCTGTCATCATTCGAAAATTGTTCATCATCAATTGAAAATTTATTACTGACGCAGCCAAAATTCGAGCTGTTATGTTAGTCTTTTTTCAAATTCAATTTCAGAAGCTTTCCAACAATGGCGCCACAATTGCTTTCTCATGTCTATGAATTGCTTCAAATCGGAACGTTTCTTCATCTTACATGCATGTTTATTATAAAGAAACTCATGCTCTAACATTTCCTGGAAAACGCTCCACACTGAGAAAAAACTATGGCTTATAAACCTATTAGAGGTAAATATGGAACACCACTAATAGTAGTACCTCTACATATAATAATAGCACATATACCTTAGTTATGGTCTCTGTACCTTAATTAGGTACAGAGACCTTAGTATGGTTCACAGACCGAGAATCATTAGTTTATTTACGACTATTATAGGTGTTCCATATTTACCACTAATAGGTTTATAAACCATAGCTTTTTCTCAGTGAGTGTATTACCTATAACAATCATCTCGTGAATTAGAGTTTTTCGATCGGCAATTAATTGAATGTCATCTTGATTGGTGCAACCAGTCGATTGTTTAAGTACGATTGACCGTTAATCGATGATTTACCACCGACCGATTGAAAATTAAAACTTGGTAAATTTTCACGTCAACTGTCTAAAAACCAGCACGGAATCGCTTAAAATGTCAGCTCAAATCCTATAAGTGCCTGTGTTTCATGGATAAAAGTGTCTCGATAGAAATTACGGAAATTATTGTGCCGAAATTTGCTCAATTACCTATCATCGAAAACGTTCAGCTTATATGCGATTTTCATTTCTGAAATTCTTCGTAAATGCTGATTCACCCGTGGAAATCAGTGACGCGGCGTGAATGATCGAATATCGATATTTGCCAATTGAAGCTGTGGTAAAGAATCGATTATAAAGGTTTTCTTTGCGAACACCCTCTTTATCGATCCTTTTCCATAGGTTTAAAAGGCAGAACAATCGATATATCACAAAGCACGCTACACCACTGGTGGAAACCCTGGAGAACATCCCAGGGCACAGGTTGTTATTGTTGAAAATTTACTCTTCCAAAACATGCACATAAACCGACTAATTTTTATATGACTCAACTATATTCGATTATTTTATTTTCGATCGTTCAGGAATTCGATCAATCCCTAAATTAACTAAGCGAAACACTCCGCCATGGATGCACCTCGAGGATTGCAATGTGACAACTCATGTGTTGCGGTCCTCGCACTTGTCCAGCTTGCTCGGCGAGGCCGGCGCGGACCTCGTGTGGTTGTGGTGACCAGTCCATGATGAAATTGACACAGTTGTGTCGTTCTTGTCCTGTTTTCCAGGCTTCCAAGCCGGGACTCCAATATGCGGGATGTCCATGTTACGTAAATATCATTTCACCAGCGTCCAAACACCGCCCGCTCCCTTCTCGACCCGAGACTAACTTCCCGCCAAAATCACGGAGATTCATTCCTTGTGTAGAGTCCCTGTATACGCGGGAGAGTATCGCCATCTCAATCCTTTTACTACAAAAAAGTGTGCCGCTCTCTGATTGGTCGGCTATCATGGAGCCCCGAAGTTGGCCCAATGTAAACCAACAAGATGGCGACAAAGTTCTAGACGTGATTTTGAATTTGATAGAAATTTTTTTACATCCATCTTCTGAATTGGGTTCCGATCGAACTTCGAACCCCAATGCATAGTAGTCTATTTTGAACGCATTTATACACTGTTTGGTAAAAAAGAGTTGGAAGAAACAACGGTACGTAGCACTGCGGTGGATAGTAACCATCACCCTGTTTTCCGAAGTTTGATACCTTAGTTGATCTATTTAGCATGAGAACTTCAATTGGATGCACGTGTGTATTTTTGCTACAATATTATCATATGCGATTGTCAAACGACGATCCTACACCCAGCGCAACTGAACTATTCATGTGAAGGTATCAATGATGTCATAAGTCCTTTTTGCGCAACTATACCGTGAACTAATGACCCGTTGAACCCGTTTGTTTTGACGGAATCCGGAAGAGCTGCGTTGACGAGCGCGAAAAATTATTCCGTTGCCGATTGTAAAACCGATAACCATCGCTGCTACTCGACTATATCGACCGCATGATTGCTCTCTGGTAGATTGGTGTGGTGGGCAGCAAAGGGAACCTAATAGTTCCAAAAGAACACAAACCAGTCCAAAATGTATACATCTGTCAGGAAGTGCTTGTTTTGAAGTCAGACACCAAAATTACCGCCGAAGTATCGGTTATTTTGCCATTGGCAGACATGTATTGCGTAATTAGGGGCACAGTTTAGCGAGAGGGAATCAAGTATTTCGGAAACAAAAAGTCTGCTCGCTAAAGGACGTGCTAGAAGGAGCTGTGTGCGCACGGTTTGTATCCTTTTAGCATAAATACGTCCAGTTTTTCGGTAGATGAATTCCCTTTCATTGATGATCCCACTGCACGTTATTAAGTAGAAGGGATAGCTAATTATCTGAACATAATGCTCATGAAAATGTATTTTTACTACCATGGGCTGCACAGAGTGAAAACTCAATACAAAAGTTGGTTAACGCGGCAAGTAAAACACAATATAACCAAAGCTGTTGGTCAACGGTTTCCCAGTCTCTCCATTCATTGCTTTCTGCGCTAAATCCACCGCAAAATGTACCAAAAGTAACACAACATTTGGATTAGTTTGGCTTTTACTTCATGTATCAACCAAAAGTTCCACAAGAACACACATATTTTGATCAGTTTGGGCGTTGGTTTTTAAAAATATCAGTGGCGTGGCGCGCTTTGCAATGTATCGCTGTTCTGCCATTTAAACCTATGGTAAAGCATCGACTACCAAGGTGTTCGCTGCGAACACCCTGATTATCGATCCTTTTCCATAAGTTTAAATGACATAACAATCGATATATCGCAAAGCACGCCACGCCACTGAAAAGTATCCTCACGCAGATACTCTCCTCTCAATTCTTCTTGTTCCAATTTGCGCTTGTTACCCTTCTTTAACCTTATCCACCCCTTTTTTCCATCATTCGAAAGAAACGAACCATCAAAACACGGTAGATAATTTTCGTTTAGGTCTCCTCCTCTCTTTCTGTTTTTTTCTTTTTTCCCCCTTTTTTCGTTTCAAAAATCTGTACATGTGCCAAGTGCCGATTTACCTCCTTTAAGTGATTGCGCACCGTAATTCTTCCAAATAAGAACTAAACAACTTCAAATTTCCTTCACACGAATTTCTGTGTTCGCCTGGCCTGGCAATTGCTTTCGTTGGCAGACCAGCAAAATGATTCTCGCGGAGTACTTTCGAAAGAAAGTCAAAGTAAAAGTGACGCTGTTACTATTTTCGCGGAGTGTATTATTATTTTGCACGTAGAATCCTAAAAACGAGCGACTCAGTCGGTCCGTTCGAAGAAACAATGAAAAGTAAAAGACAAGACATTTTGTAAAAAGTTCAAATAAGTCGAACTGTAGATAACTTTAAAAACTAGAGCGCTTGCTGCCTGCAGAACGTTGCCAAAAGTCTTCAATGAACTGAATCCATCCCAATAATTAACCTGTTTTTTGGAAATGTTTCATGTTGCGGTTTTATCCTGCACAAACGTCCCCGGAACTTAGTGACCACCTTGGGAGAACTTGGGGAGCGCACTGGTGATAGGAGTCTCGCGCGCTGGTTTCGCCGCGGTGCGCTTACGAGTGGGGGCTATCCCGACCCCCCTCGTCCCCCCGTCCCCTGGCGCCGGAGTGAATCAGCCAGAATCAGTCTGCCCGACTCTTAGTCGATCAGTGTGCTCGATCAGTGGTTTTCAGTGGCGCGCCCGTCCGTTCTGCCGGCCAGCATGCTTGTGAAAATAAACAATCCTTTCCAAACATTTTTTCCCTTCAAAATCACTCCAATCGTTCGTTTCGTCTGACCCGAGCTAATCGAAAGTAGTCATTTAACCCCTGCAGTGTAAGTTCTCCACTCTTCATTTTTTCCGCTCCTCCAAATTTTCATCCGCCAGGATTCCAAATTTTTTAGCTTGCAAATTTTCCCCCTTTTTTCCGTTCAATTTACATCAATTAAAACTACTTTCTTTCAAAATTTTGGTAAATTTCTACTACTGGTTCAGTGCTTGTGAATGTTAAAATCTCGTTAATTTTTGTGACAGCTACTCGAGGATCTGGTTTGGATAATTCTCTTTGCAGAAGGATTTTGTCACATCTCTCCTTTTTTTGGGGTAAGTTTTTATTAGTTTATGTTTCCCTCTCTTTCTATCTCCTTTCAGAATGCACATTACCTGCGAGTATCCACTGAGTTTAACATTTTAAAATAATTTGCCATCGTCTGAATTTGGCAAGAAGTCCAAATTTAATGCACATAAAACGGTTTGAAGCTTACATGTCATATCCGAATATTATTGAAATGCTGGATGCTTAAGCAAAGAGAAATAAAAAAATATATTTCTCCTTACAACCTCCATTCCTTTTTTATATGTATTAAACAAATTCCATTTTTGCCGATTCTTCGTGCTAAAGAAATGTATTCTATGCTGTGAACTCAAATCTTGGAGGATTTCATCGAGTAACATTACCATTGTCCCTGCTGAAGTGATGTTAGTCTTAAGATATGGAAGCGCAATAGGATTTACAACCAGAGTTGCTTGAAATGAACGAAACTTAAGAAATTTGAACATTTCCGTGAAATATTTAGTGCAATTCATGATAAATATGAAATACGATCTGAGGGGCTGGGAATGCAACCCGCACACTAAAACATTTTTATAATTCAGAATTTTTTTTACTCGGTTCCAAATTTGAATATCTTTTTCTCGTTTGTGAAGCATGTTTATTGAGCACGAAAAATACGATGCTTCTGAATAACATTCGTAGAGTTTTAATAATTCGTCACCCCTCTGATGCAAGTGCAAGGGCGCCACATATATATTTCGGAGACGTTTCAAGCAAAACTTAAAAATTTTAAAATTAAGAAATGGTATTTCGTTTAAAACACACTGGAAAAAAACACATTGGATCTAGAGTCCAGACTCTTGAAAACATTGACAAGAAAAAATACTCTTGATTCAATCGGATTTTTGCTTGAATCAAAACGAAATCCGCTTAAATTAAGAGCTTGGTTCTTGATTTAAGCTAGATTCTGATTGAATCAAGAGTACTTTTTCTTGTCGATGTTTTTAAGAGTCTGGACTCTAGATCCAATGTCTTGTTTTTTCCAGTGCAGTTCTAAAGCTCCGATTAATTTACGTCATTGTACGTAGTTTGACAAAAAAACGGTTTCGTTTGTTTGTGAATTTCGGAAGTCGTTTCTTCGCCGCGAAGCAGGTGCTCTCACACGCGCGAGCTCGGGAATTTTATGGTCATGGGAGTGGGCGAACGGTCCCACGAATTGGACGTATTTCTGCCGAACGGAACTATGTGCATTTAGACACGAGCCCTGAGACCCATAAGAATACATGCATGACAGGGCTCACGTTATAATGCACATAGTTCCGTCTGGCAGAAACACGTCCAATTGAGTCAGTGAATGTTGGGGCCCTGAAACAATGATTTATAATTATTTTTGCTTAAATTACGCTCGTTCGTGAACGGATTCACGATTAACTTTCTTCGCGCTGATTATGTCATCAAAATCTGAAACTTATATTAAAGGGTTTTGATACTTGAGACCTGAGTTAGCTCCATCGCAAAATGCAAATTAGAACCGAGTATTTGGATCTAAAAGCCCCGTCGCGTTCACTAAAACTTCATCGCTTCTTCGCAAAATGATCCTTATCGACAAAGCTCTATCTTCCAATGTTATCTACCGTGCAAGGTCATTCGGCACGTTTTCGACCTAATTTCAAAACCGGTCCACTGGGTTGGGGCTAGGGGCTGATTTGACATTTATGCATAGGAGTTTTTGTGACTAAGTAGTAGACGTTCACATATATGCTGTGCTAAGGAAGAACGACGTTTGAGCTTTCAGACCTTGCCAAATGTCCTTTAATAAAATACGAATTTTCAGGGAAATCTGTAAATATTTTTCCTTCAATTTTTGGAAGACCTTTACTCGCAATAAGATCTAAATTATCTGAGAAATCGAACAGAAGATATTCCTAACTTTCTTTGAATTTCCATAACTTTCCTAACTTCCACCGAATCACCTTAAGACTCGTGTGTCTACCGCAATCAGTTAATGAACTAAAATTTTGTTTCTGGAGATTCTACGATGAAAATCCGATTCTGTGACAAGCGGTGGTGACCCATTGTCCGGAACCCGGAAACGCGGAGACACGGAGTGATGAGCGAGGCCGGGTGTATAATTAGCCGGCGCTGGCGATCGGACGCCGGGCCGGGCCGGTATCCAGGGAGTATGATATAGTGCAATTAGGCGTCGGAGAAAAATTGGAGGAGCCACACCGCCGCCGCAGAAGGAAACGGGGAATTAGCTGGAAGACGAGGCTCCGTGTTTGGGTCCTTTCGTCGCTGTTATTAATCGCGCATTGTTTTCCGCCATCCGAGGAAGGAATAAGTGCCCCGATGCTTCCTCGCTCATTTTTCAAACTTGTGATCGGTCCGGCTGTCATCGGCAGGGAAGTGTTCGCATAGTCCGCTCGCCGTCAATTTTTCCGCAAATACAACGAAACCGCGGAAGCCGCGGATGTGTCCACGCGGGTAGAACTAGCAGTCGCACTCTGTATCGAGACCATGGAAGAGGTCGGACAAAATTTGGAAACTTGAAACGCATAGAAACGGAGTTAATACAAAATTTTGAGGATCTGAAAGTAGTTCCACTGGTTTCCGCGTTAAATTTTCTTCCAGAAGCACCCCATTAAGTTAAAAATATGACGAAACAAGTATCAAAATTTGCAGTTTCAATCATATATTTCATGTCCGACCTCGCTATACAGGTACTCTAGTCCGACCTCCCTAATTGACTCAATCCACTGTGCGTCGCCCAGTGAAAGGGGTTTTATGAAGAACGAACCAAATAACAATCACCACCCAACATCTTGACTCTTATTCTGCTTTCAAAGTTACGTTCAATAAGAGGATAAATAGGTGATATGGATATAGGATATGGCGATATAGGATATGATGAACGAACCAAATAACAATCACCATCCAACATCTTGACTTTTATTCTGCTTTCAAAGTTACGTTCAATAAGAGGACAAATAGGAAATTAGGAAAATTTGTGTTGTTTGTTTTGCATCGAGAACTGCGTCACAAGACAGTGCACAATGTAAAAAAAAGTCACCAAAATCTTGTGTTAATAATGGAAGTGAAACACGAAATAACACAAGCTGTTGGTTGATTTTTTTAGTGTTAGTATTCCCCGCGTCAAATCGACCAAATATTTGTGTTAAGCGACCCAAACCGTAGGTTACTAAGAAAGACATCGGATCATGAAGAGAGTATCCTGCGCCGAACTTATGTACTCTAGTTTTCCACCCCATACGTAGAGGTCGCAACTTAAGAGTGACTGCCGCACCAGATTATCCCGGATGTGATCCAAAATCAATCCGGATGCCTAGTTACTAGCTTCTAACGAGGTCGCAGATTTTTAACCCAACATTGTGTCAGAGGAACCAAGTCCTTTGCGTTGATCTGACACACGAAAGTAACTTAGAGTTACACCAAACACGGACATTTTTAACTGTGTGTTCATTTTGAAATAAGATCAGTGAAAAGATTGATTAGCACTCTCTACTCTCTCAAATATTCGCTCTTCCAGTTAGGTACGTCAGTTGCATCACAGTGAGCGTCTTATAGTCTCCGTTGTCTCTGTTCCGGCCCCTTTCGGCGATGTAATCATCTCGAATTCATCACCCAAATCAACGCAGGCTGCAAATCCGAGTGCCAAATTTGGACCTGTGAATATTTTAATGTCGCCGGAGTCTCTCGGAGCCATGACGCATAGGTATCTGTTTTTGGGCACTAACTTTCCAACAGCACCTTTTCTTCCACGCACTCGAAAAAGCTGCTGAAAATGTCACGGCTTCGTCATTAAATATGTCCTCAAAAAATGAGGTGCACGAGGATTGTATACGAAAGATGTTCAGTGCCGTAATTGATAATCTCCTTATGCACTGAAATAAGGAAGGGTCAGATGATTTGAACTCGGTAAACCCGAATTGGTACTGTGCAGCAAACTTGTTGGAGTTGTATCCGGAAATTCTCTCGTAAGAGTGCATTTTCAGATAAGACTATCTTTTTAAAACAAAATATAGACACTAACAAGAAGGAGAAAAAAAATAAACACCCTAGTGAAGCAGATGTTCTCTCAGCTACCATCCGATAGCTCCGTCTATTCTGAAAAATATGCCTGTTGTAATGCTGGTTAGGTTTCTCTCCGGTTTAAAAAAAAATACGCATTCATCTGGATCGCAAACCTTACCGTAGTTTGTTCATATTCGATGTGTTCAGTTCAGAAGGTTTAAAAAAAATGCGAACGACCAATCAGACAGGAAGCCTCTAACAATATGATTCCCGACTAAATTATGCAAAAACGGTCTGTACTCGCCCATAAAATTTTTCTTGCATGAGAATCAGGAGGCTGGTCGCTGAATTTTCAGTCATGATTTGCATTCAAGTCCGGGGAACTCCACAGAAATGCCTCCAAAGCAACCCATGCAAACGTCTCGAAAATCAAAATTCCGCTCGCTCATAAAACCAGTCCGTTGAGTATACGGATTCTTTTGAGATATTAACGCACTCTATCTCGTCCCCGTCATTGCCGAGTTCACATGAACGTACTCTTCACTCAGGTTCTCTCACCCGTAAATCATATTGACCTCCTCGCGAATTGACGCCAATGTTTCATAACCGATTATCCCGCTCACAAATATTTTCACGCAATATTCTGATTTCATGGTCATTAATAATGATTTCATTACGACTCATATTTCAACCATGACTAAGGCTGGGGGTTGGGTTTCCCGACCATCCTCTCCCTTGGAAAATACCCCCGCGTGCTACTTAGTCGTCTCCTAGCTCAAAAATTGGTTGTAGAGTCAATGGTCTCCACGGTATAATGGAATCAGTTTTTTGCATAATAGCATTGCATTATTCTAACGCATTGAATTTATCTATAGATTTTTTTTTATTTTTTACCATACAATTGTAAGCATTCCTCATTAGATCTGTACTTTGTTTGTTTATTTCATTTTTTTACCATTACTTTCTGAATTTGACTCTCATTCTGCCGTTCAAAGCAAAACCGCCACAACTCTATTTT